CTCTTACCCTGGGCTGCTTGCGGGGTGTCAGGGGCTGGAGCAGGGGGCTTGGACAGGGTGAGCTCCAGAGGGCCCTTCCAGCCCCCATGACACCGGGACTCTGTGAACTGTGCCTGCCATTCTTTGCCCTGCTAGCATCATCCCCACCCCCTGCCCCTGCCCCCTCGCTGGCTTCTCCCCCTGATCTGAAGGTCTCCTCTGCTCCCCATGTGCAGGTACCCCCTTCAGGAACACCCAGTGCCAGCCCTGCCCCCAGGGCACCTTCTCCTCCTCCCCGTCCAGCACGGAGCCGTGCCAGCCGCACCAGGACTGCCAGCAGCAGGGGAAGGTGACCAACGTGCAGGGCAACCAGTACCACGACACCTTCTGCACCTCCTGCCGGCTGCAGGGCAGGAACAGCACCCAGGGAGCAGGTGAGCTGGGCAGGGCAGGGACCACGCCGGGGGAGGGCAAACCTGCTGGGGACGTTCTCCTTCAGAGATGCAAAACGAGGTGAAACAGGTTGTAAAAGTACAGAGAGATCCATAATTAAGGGCAATTATGGAGAGAATAGAGACTGTCTGCCTTTCCCCCCCCCCAGGGGCAGTGCTGTGGGGCAGGGGCAGGAGGCAGGGCTCAGGCAGAGCCCTCCTGGGCTCCTTGCTCAGGGAGAGTGAGGAGCTGGCAGTGAGCTCCTGCTGGCTCCCACCAGGGACTGGGACAACTGGAGATGTGGGGCTCAGGACTGGTTGTGGTGGCCGTGGGGCTGTAGCCAAAGGCTTGCTGTGGTAGCAGGTGGCTGGTGGCCATGGCTCCTGCCATCTCCAGCTCCTCCCAGGCCTCCCACCTCTGGGCACCTCTGTGGCCACAAGCTTGTCTCGTGTGGGTTGGCTGGAGCAGAGTCTGAGGTTTGCCAGTGCAGGGTCTGGTCTGTTAGGTGGAAAAGCAGAGCTGTGAGGTCAGGTCTGTCAGTGGGGCAGTGCAGAGGTGGCACTGAGCCTCCCAGGGGCTGGAGGCTGGGCAGGAGCTGCCAGCGGGCACAGGCAGTGGAGCCAGAGAATCCCAAGCTGGGAAGGAGCTTGAGAACCATCTGGTCTGACCTCTCTTGGCAAAAGCACAGGGCAGAGCAGCAGGGGAGAGCCATGGGCTGGCTCCAGGGGGACTGTGCTGGGTGCCCCAGCAAGTTAGGGGATGAGAAAGGGACTGAGAACCATCTCAAGGTCTGATGTAGGTGGAGGTGGAGCAAGTGGCTGTTTGGAGCCACCTGCTCTGCC